AAATATGAATTACATTAACATGTTTTTACCACTGCCCTTCAAAATAAAGTCATACATATGAATGCTGGCAGTAACATGTGACGATTAGCTGGGCAGGTGTGCAGTAATTACACCGCACAGCTTCTCTGGGTCTTCAGGATGAAAAAATAAATAAATATATGCATTTAAAAATAAACATCTTATGCTGCTCAACAGATGGAGGCTCTGACCACGCAGCGGGCAGAAAAACACTAAGGACTTGCAAATACACTTTATCTCACTTACAATTATTAGTACAAGACAAACATGTTCTAAGGATTTCATATGAACTTTGCAGGATTAAAATGTGGAAATCAGATGTGATGTTTAATGTCAGGTTATATTAAGTGGAGGAGGTGGAGGAGTGGGTGGGGGACATGTGATGGGTGGGGCTTGGCAGGCAGACAAAGGGAGCGTCAAGGAGATGTGAAGATGTGAGAGCGGTGCCCAGGCATGAGGCCATGAGGCTAGGGGTGGTCCCAGAGGGGTCACAGAGGGTAAAACACAACTGCAGCCAACCACCAATATTACAGTATATGGACGGATGGATACACAGCATAAAGAGGACAGAGAAGAGAGATGATCATAAAAATACAGATATATAATAATAACTCCACTTTTAAAGCATAATACTTAAAGGTTATATATCGTGCAAAATTGACTCTTGTGAGCTTTAAGCCAAGTTAGAATGTTGCTATCTCATCAAAAACATACCCGGAGTTGTTTCATACATGAATAACCCTATTTATTTATTTATCTATGTATTTATTTATGTATTCATTTATATATATACATTAGTATTATTAGTCTGTTTACATCTTCAGAGCTCAAAATGCTCCATTCCACCTTGTGATGTCATGTAGTGTATGTAGTTTTCAAGTTAACAGCTCCGTTTACCTTTTGATCAGTAGAGATTCCAGAGCTGAAATCATCTAAATGATTCTAGTAAAGGTGTATGGAGTATGGACATGGTATCACAAAGAGAAACAGAGTGTTTTTTGTTTAAGAGAAGAACTCATCCTAAATATGCTGTATTTGTGTGTTAAACATGTGTAAATGAAACAAAACACAACTCCAGATGATGTTTTTGATGAAGAAACAACATAATAAGATAGATCAGAAAATAGTGTAATATGGACCCTTTAAGCAACTACTTTATTAAGAATGATTCTGGCTAGTATCTTCATTAAGAAATAGGGGGAGTTAGGGTATTAATTAAGACTAATTAAGGTGTAGTCATTATAAAGTGGCATCAGTATAGACATAGAAACATTACTTGTTACTACTTGACAATATGTTTTCAATATCTGACAGCAGCTCTATGATACATAATTTTAAAAGCTAATACCAATTTTCTTTTGCTTTAATACAGGTAAGTATAATTTATTGTCCTCAAAGGGAAATTTGTCTTGACTTGGCAACATTTGATCACTTATTTTCAATCGTAACTTGGACAATATGTTCAACTGCCCTCTGCTTTTGACCCATCCGTCAGTAGGAGGCTGTGTAGCACCTGGAGACCCTTCTCCTGATCTTACGCTATGCTTCCTCAGGACTATCTGGTTGGAGGATTAACTTACTGTAGCATGTAATTATCTTCTTTTTATATATAATCTCTGTCCAATTGTAACATGCATTAAATTATCAGTACAGTTCAAAAGCCACTGCTCATGTGACTGTTTGGATAAAGAGAGCGGGTGAAGTCATAGAGTATCCTTCGCAAATGCCAAAATAAATTAAAATGACTGCACACTAAAGAAATCTGCTATGGTATTCTATAATGGAGCACTCTTGTGAAAAAGCCATTTACTAAATAAGACCAGTGTTCTTGAGTCTCATTTTGTACAATAAATGGTCGTCATTTCCATTAAGACCCGTGAGAGGGCTTAAATTCACACAGAGGAGAGGCATGTGTTTATGGTCAGACATTTTTACAGGGATCCTCCATCTTCCTCCTGTTCCATCCCTTACAGCCCCCTGGGTCCCTCGATTTCATTAAAGTCTCATTGAGAAGCTCGCCATTATAACACTGTACAATTTGCCGTGACAACATGAAGACTAAACAAGGAGGCAATCATCATTCATCTCCTCCATACAGATACAGAGGAAACGACTGGACCAAAGCAAGCACAATAGGCCCAGTTGTTTCATAGACTCTATCTTTTTCAATATCACTTCATCTCATGTTTGCAAATCTTTTATTTTTACTCTTAAAGAGGTGTCATGTGTCAATTGCTGTCTTCCTTTTATAAACAGGAGAAAAATGAATTATTTATTAACAAAGCATCAACTCTTTCCAATTAATTGCAGACAAAAAAGACAAAAGCAAGTCATTTCAATTGATCCTAAAAAGCTATTTTGTAACAGGGGGCCTTTGTAGAGCGTTGCTTGGTGACGCCGGTGTAGTGAACGGAGGGGGGAGGGGAGAGAGAGAGTCCTAGCTGGGTCCAGTGTAGCCTTGTCATTCACCCACATGATGAAAAGCTTCCTGAACCTAAGCTAATAAGGAGATTGGAGAGAGTGTGCTGGGGACAGAAGAAGAAGGAGGAAAAAAAACACCAAAGAGATAATATTTAGAAGGAAAAAAGAAAAAAGCAAATTCTTGGACAGGCCACCGATTTAGCAGGTCTGCAGGGAGTCAGGCACAACATAAGCACCCAGTGGCGAGCTCACACAAATGCTTGTCAAGCTAAAATAAAAAGTGAATTTATGAAAGGAGGCGGATAAGAAGGTGGTTGGGTTTAATGAAAGACAATAGAAAGGCTTCGTCATCGTACATCACAAAACAGAGTTGAAGTGAGGGATGGGATGAGGGGGAGTAACGCTGCAATAACGATCTTAGAAATACAAAGAGGATATAAACAAACATGAGTATTAGTTACAGTCTTTTTTAAGAAATTCTTCAATGTTTTGGCTATTTCTGTCAAAGAGATGACTTCACTCAGAATTATTTATGTTCATATCTGAGTTTTGGGCCCAGTGGTACACCCAGGAAGATAAAACAAGCCACAGCAGGAGACTATTTATAAAAGATCAAAATCCCGTTGACCTAATCATACTTGTATTTGGTACCAAAGTGGAAATATTCATAAAGTGTATTTTTATCTATAGACTTAAAAGTATTAATTAGGCCAGTCATGATAACAAATTTTGAACTGCGATGTATTGCTGAATAGACACAATTACCCAAGAGCAGATTTAAGCCACAAAAAGTATTCTAAATCTACAATATTGTTAAAAAATCATGAGCTGCAATAAAGAAACAGCAGAATGAAACACTTATTATTTAGTCTGCATCTCCAACGAGTGATAGAAGTTATGTATTCAACATTTTACGGCTTAAATCTCATCATATGACCAGAAAATAACCAAAAATGTCCCAGTAGTGCAAAGAAAATGTGCAAATGATAAATAATGACCGCAAAATATACTGTTGCAACTTTCATGTATTGACAGTCCTAGTATTCAGGTTATTATGAAAATACCAAACACCTCTCAAATTAAACAGGAAGTTACATCAATCAGTGGGCACCTTCAGTGATGTTATTACCAACCATACAGGGACACAGGGACACAGAGACACAGGGATAATACAGGGACACTTTACAGTCACAAGTTCATTCCTCATGACTCCCTTTGAAGGGTCTCTGGAGTATTGTTCCACAGTGAGAGCTCCTCTGGCCAGACTCCATTAAGAGAAACACTGTATCATTATAACAAGAGCTCCCTGTTCAATGCCGTCCAAAACTACTGGCCGGCACGCTTCCAAAGGTCAAAGGCCAAGGGTCAAACTCTGATCTTCAGTAATCTGTCAGGCCTCTGCTAATCAATACAAGAAGCTCACAGGATCTATATGAGCAGCCAAATGCAATCATTATAACATGGATGAGTTGAACTTGGCCAATGAGTCAAATAAGAGACAGTAATCAGTTTTGACATGTAAAAAGTGCAGATTGCTAAGGGTAAATCAATGCATACAATCTTGCAATACAATGCACTATAGAAAACACTGAAAAAGAAATACAGTACATCGTGTACAAGTAAAGTACAGTATGCAGAATGGGTTTGTTGAGCATAATGGAGTTTTATATTGATTCAGCTTGAACACAAATGTGTTAAAGTAGTGGATAGAGCTGACCTTTGAGAGAAAGTCCCTTCAGGGGGTCCTAAAAGGTTGCATGTGTTTGACAGCAGCAGCCCTGAACACAAGTGACTTCTCCCCTCGGTCAGTGAGGCGTCGTGCTAACCTCTCCTCCCACTGGGTGGAAAAGCCTTATTGGCTACAACAGCACAGCAGTGTGCTGACTACACACAGCTCAGGGATCAACAGGCTTCACTCAACCATTGTCCATCACTGTGTAAGAAAATATATAAAAGTGGGGCTCTACAAAGTCTTAAGTCAGCACTGCACGCAACAGCCTGATATCAATAAAGCTGAGCTGCAGAGCGCAGCATGTCCACAGAGGGCTGTGAGTCCATGATGACTTTAATTTAGAGAGCGCTGAGACAGCCTCTGCATGTGTGTGCCACCACAAAAGAGACACTAAAGCTCGAGTGGACCGGGGAGGATTGTCTCCTACATGAGAAATGCAGCCTAATGAGCCTGGACACAATGCTGAGAAGGAGATGCTCAAACAGAATGACTTCAAACTGGAGACTTTAGTCAAGCCACAGATTATTTCTGTTGATGCCTTTGAAAATATCTTTGGATAATGCCCTCACACATAACAGTTTCAAGCTCAGTGTGAGCACTTGTTAATGTACAACGCAAAGGCCAGAGCTAGTCTGTTGAAGACATGGGATTTGAGTTAGGTCCCATCCTGTGGGTACATTTGCCAAACACCTTACCACTGTGCAAAAAATCAAAGACCAGATGGCCCTACGATGAGACACGGACTACCTCTGGTCCCTAAAGTTGAAATGTAGTGTTTGCATGAACCGTGCACATGATTCTTAACAGTTCTGGAGCAGTTATTACTTACTTGCTGCCTGTACGCGGGCCTTGCGGCTTACTACGAGCCCAAAGGAATTCTGGGCCATGCATTCGTAGTCGCCCTCATCAGACGTGCCGTCAGATTTGGTCTTGAGGAAGTGGGCGATGAGGAGAGAGCCATTGATGAAGATGGTGTGCTCCTGGTCCTGAGGCAGCAGCAGACCGTTGTGCCTCCAGAGGGTGGTGATGGGGGGAATGCCCACCACCTGACAGTGCAGCATCAAGGGCTGCTCCTGCACCGCGATGATGTCACTGGGCTCCAGCGTGAAGGACAGCTCCGCTTCACAAGTCACGCCTGCAACACACAAACACATCAGACACTGGATGTAATGTGATTTCACTACAGTTTCATTAAATTCAAATTTACCATGAAGATCTGGAAGAACATACTGAGCAATTTTTACCTTAATCACACCCAAGTATCATTTGGTACCTATCTTAAAAAGTATGTTGTGTCCTTGCCAAGACACTTCACTCACCTTGCCTAGTATGAAAGTGGTACATGGATGAGTGAATGGTGGTGGTCAGAGGGACCCATGGTGCAGATTGGCAGCTTCCTACCCCAGGGCAGCGGTGGCTACAGCAGGTTACCACTACCAAGTATGGAACGAATGAACAATGACAACAGTGTAGGGAGAGGCTTTCTCGAGCCCGTAAAGTGCAACACAAGTGTTAGGTATTATTTTGGTTATTAAATATTCTAAACCATATTTGTTCATCCCTGTTTTTTATAAAGCAGAGCAGGACAAAGGTGTTTCTTTTGCTTACCTCTGAACAAACTGACTTCATGTCATATCACAGTGAGCTAGCTCTTCTGGCTAATGAATTAAAAGGCCTGACTGAGCTACCTCCAGGCTACAGGCACCAGGGAATACATGGTCTATAGATCTATGCACCATGAGTATACTGAATGTACCTATATAGTGAACACATGCATGGCTCTGTCTAACTGTAGCATCCATCTGGGATTTCCTATTTGAACAAAGCAGCACTCAAAAGCTTTTAAGTGCTCAAAGTTAAATTTCTAATGGTCTAATTGTCTTATTTCTGGTTTCAGGGGAGCCCAAGACAATAAATAGTGGATGTAAACACGTTGACCTAGCTTGGTACTATAAAAGAGGGGCTTAGCGGGCTGTGGGCATATCGTGTTACAACTGCTGATGGACTAAGCACTACCAGTCGCTGCCCCAGGCCCAGGAATCTGGTGGGACGGAGGGGGGCGAGGGGGGCAGGGGTCAGAAAAGAGGACCTCCCGCTCCATCCCTCAAATTCCTGCCCCAGAAAGACTCCCCCTCTGTAGGTGAAGACAAGGAGTGCATTGACACACTCCCCTGGATCACAAATGGTCCCTAATGCAAAGAAACATTTCCACTCCTCTCATTTTGATCTGTATCCCTTCATTAGTCTCTCCATTTTTCCTCCTCTTCTTCTTCACTCAGCGAGCAGCAAAGTAGCCAGGGGACTAAGGAAAAAAATCAGGGCTACCACTTAAAAGCAAGAGGTATTTAACCCTTAAGTCACCGGCTATGCAAAAAAAAATTTGTTACAGGGTCTTCTTTTTGCATTAAGTCATCAGACCTACACTTATCTAGCACCCTACATACAATATTACTGAGGGTATTATTAAGGGCCCATATTATGCATTTTCTGATCTATGTTATAATGTTGTTTCCTCATCAAAAACATGTTTAACAGACTCTGCATGTTTAAGCTTGTGATGTGTCTACTGAACATTCATGACATCACAAGGTGGAACAAAGCATTTTGTGCTTTGGAGATGTAGACAGACTAATAATAGGGTGATGAAATGTGTGAATGAAACAAAACACAACATGACTCAAGTCAATCAGTCAATTTTGTGCAGTATAGGACCTATAGGATGGTCATTTAACAGTTAATCAGAGCAACCTACTATTAATGTCATGTAATGTAATGTAATATGCATAATGTAATAATCAATATGCTTTTTTTGTGTGAGCACCGAGCTTGGGAAAGTGAAAATGGTGATGACAGGAGGCCATCTTGAGAAAAACCTATGACAAATTAATTATGTAAATTACTGACAGATGAGGGGCAGATGGTTTGCTTTGGCCCCAGTGAGAAAATGCCAGGAAAGAGTAAAGTGGGTATTCACAATAAAAAATTTAAACACGACATTTTGAATCAAAATATGCACTCAGTATTGACAATTCAGTGGTTCAGTATAAGAGGCTATGACGCTAAAAGATAATGATCAATGCTATCAAGCTCTATCTAACATGTTTTAGAGTACCACTGATAAACTGGTATCACAGCATCTCAGATTTGTATGCCCCACTTTATGTTTTAATCAAGATCGAAATTCAGTCATTTCTAATCAGTTATATACATAGGTCTACAGCCAATCCTCTGTCAGTAAAAGCATGTGGTTTTCAGAGTTTAGCCTTGTAGGAAGCGAGAGAGAGAGAGAGAGAGAGAGAGAGAGAGAGAGAGAGAGAGAGAGAGCTCTCATCCAGTCCTCCACTTCTTCACTTCTCAGTGCTATTCCACATTTTATGTAACCCTCTAACAAGATGAAGGGTGAAGGTTACAAACAAGCTCAGGTCACAACATAGATAATTATTTTGAACACTTCTTTCTCTGGTTGAAAAGATAGACTGAACATCAATACAGGAGGAAATAGCACATTATTTTAATGAGCCAGAGTTTAAGGTTAATGTATTTAAAAGTAAGGACACATAAGACTGGATCTGTAAAATGTAGACACGTCACTGTAGAAATGTGTGCCTATTAAGGATTAAATGAACTGTAACCGCAATATAACTAAAAATCGTGTCTTAATGTGTTTAAAACCTTGTTATAAAAAAATTCTGTGATGCATTTTTACTGACACTAGGGGACCTTGTTAGTTTTGTATTTTGCTTACATTATGATTTATGTATTTTCTTTTGTATTTCGATGGTGACACAAGTTACTAAATAATGATTTGAAAAAATGCATGGATTGTATTAGCTAAGCCGATTCTTATATTAGCTAAGCAGTTAATATATCTTTTGTCAAATTGTAAGATTGTTGGATGTGCTTAAAATATGGACTCAAAACATAATGTTATTAGAACATAAATTGCAATCATTATCTTATCTTAATGCTTGTCAGAAAAACACAGCTACATATTTTCATATCGTTGTTCAATCCTACTACCTACATGTTACAGACTTTTATGGTTGTCGAATAGGACTGGTCAGAGGATGGGAGTGTGCGGCTCTGGCCCTGACGTATACTAGCCGAGGTGTGACTGGTGGTGTGTCTCTATTGGCTGTATTGAGGTTTAGTGGTGCTGCAGTATTGTAAAGCAGGGCTCACTCACAACAGAAGCTCAGCACAGACAAACACATGTTTATAGCCAGAGGCATCCCACAAGAGCAAGAGCAAGAAGAGAGTGACTGACACAATGTGATAATCCATGGATCATGTGGTGCAAATGCTGTCAGGCTCAAATACAGTTATCAGAGCTACTGTATGTTTCTCCACTAATAGCCTACTGTACTGATGACACTGCCAGAGGCTCTATCTGAAGTTCCAACTACATTTGAAGTAGCATTGGAAATTAGGAAAGTCATGAATTAAAGTTTTTATGTGACAATTGTGTGAGAATTGTAGGGAGTCTTTTCCCATCCACAGTTATGTCAGAAGGAATGTCCTAATTTAAAGAGCCCATATTACACTATTTTCTGATATATGTTATAATGTTGTTTCCTCATTAAAACTACCCAGAGTCATGTTTTGTTTCATTCACACAGGTTTAACACGCAGACCCTCCATATTTAGGCTGTGTTCTTCTCTCAAAATGAAAACGCTCTGTTCCCGCTTGTGATGTCATGCCATATCACAGCAGATGCTCCACTGTTTTTAAACTACATACAGCTTCACAATAATTATTTGAATAATTTCATCCCTGGAATTGCCCATTTCTTACTGAGCGAAAGGTAAAAAGTAACTGTTCATTGAAAAATACCACTTAATGACATCACAAGGTGGAAGAAAGCATTTTGAGATGTCGACAAACTAATTATGCAGGATTACTCAAACATGTGTGAATGAAACAATTCACAATGATTGACACCACCATTCCTCACCATTCCTAAACTGTAACCAGTTTATAAAATCCTTTTGCAGTAAAGACTGAATTGAAATAACTTTATTCTTGTGATTATTATTTTTTAGTTATGGATGGATGGAAAATTTCATTGACAGGAAAAAAATATTTGTATATGAAACAAACAAGCAAATATAGAAATGAATGATCAATAACTGATATTTGAACTGGCAATAAGCAACAAATCCATGGATTATAACGCTCAAATCTGGGCACTTATCTTTACATTTGTGGAATATAGTACTGTCTTGGTAGAGGTATGTTCTTTCTTATCTACAACTGAAGATACATATGACAAGTTCTAATAAATGTAGACAGATAGATAGACTGCACAACGCCTGACATGTGCTCAAGTCTTGGTGAAAGTTATCATGATGACAATGTTTCTTAGAATATATTCATAAAGTTTCTGATTAATGATTGAAGAAAAATGTTCCTTATACTTTTCTTCCAAGGACAAAAATGCAATGTGTGGCAATGAAGTCAAAGGAGGAAGACTCATAATTTCAATACACTACATTCTTTCAAAGGTCTGCAGATTGAAGTTTGAGCCTGATGCATGAGTTTCAAATGAAAACCTACTGCTCCACACACAACATGAGTAATGACTTTTTAGGGGGTATAGGTAAGGCAGGGATTACCAAGTATCCCCCAGAAAAGGGTCTTCAGAACATATGCACGGATAAAGTTGCAAATGTCTCTTCACATCAAACGCTCATGGATCACTGTCACCAATACCAATGAGCTTCTGAGTGGAGCTGCAATCCTCTTTTTATCAACCTGAGATGTCAACTTAAAAAGCAATCTTTGTTCGATCAAGAGCAGATAACGGTTTCTATTTGATGAATGTTCTGCCAGCTAACTACTTAAAAACATTAAAAGCACGTGATCTGGATTTGAAATCAGTTCAAAAGCAATAAAAGATGTCAATCACAAAATGCTCTATGTTATAAACTTACAGATCAAGCATAACAGTAGGATCCCTGACTGTTGTCATATAATAATGTTACGTCTAGTCATATGTGAACTAAATTAAGCATTGCCTGTATTGGATTTTTGAACGTGTCCTGATGATTGATACTTTCCATTTTCTGATCTGTGCTATAATGTTGTTTCCTCATCAAAACAAACCTGGAGTTGTGTTTTGTTTTATTCACACATGTTTAACACACAAATTCTGCATATTTAGGATGAGTTCTTCTCTCAAACAGAAAACACTCAGTTCCACCTTGTGATGTCATGTGATAATACATGCAGTGCCCCACTGTGTATTTAAACTCCATACACCTTCACTGGAATCATTTGGATGATTTCAGCCCTGGAATTGTCAATCTATACTGAACAAAAGTAAAAAATGTAGCAGTTCACTTGAAAACTACAACTACATAGCATCACAAGGTGGAATGGAGCATTTTGAGCTGGGGAGATATAGACAGAATAATAATACAGGATTACTCAATCATATGTGAAAGAAACTAAACATGACTCCAGGTATGTTTTTGATTAGATAACATTATAACACGGCATAAAGCTCACAAGGGTCAATTTTACGTAATACCTTTAAAATGTGCGATTTATCTGCAAAATAAACTAAGAAAATTATGTACTGAAAACAATAAGAAGTAAATCTGTTTGAATAACTTGTATTAAAAGTTTAGCTGAAACGCAAACTTCAAACATCCTAAAACTAAATATGTGCAAAACGGAGAATTAAGTGACTGAACTAGTGGAAACCCTTGAAGTGCACACAAAGCAGTCTTTTTAATGAGGTCTATAGATGATAGTGTCCGTTTGCAGATGCTTAGACACTAAAGCCGGGTCATTGAAAGCATACAGTGCCCTCAGATGAGCGCTTTCCTCTCAGATTCCTCAGTGATCTAGTGCACTTTGGCGAGATTGAACTCTTGAGTGTGAGAGATCTTAATGCCGATAGTCCCGCTCTTTTTCTCACTAACTCCGACTTGAATGTCATAAAAGTGGTTTTATCCCCACTGAATCTAATCTCAGAGGAAGATGAGCACTTAAAAGAGATTCATTTTATAAAAAGGGGCTCATCACAAAGCGCTGAGCCTCGAAACATGTTACGGACCACTGTGTACTATCCTTTATTAGACCAGTGGGGGCTTTTGTCAGTCTCTGCGGGCTATACCCTTTGCAAATACTCAATACTCCCTCTGCTTTTCAATTCAAGGGGCCACAAACATGAGAAAATATCCTGTGCTCACGAGGAATAAAAGATGAAAAATAGTGCCGGACAAAAGGGCCAGTGTTGACATTTCATCTGCACAGATATACGCCCCAGCAGGCAATATGAAAGTACTTAGATTAACCAGAACTGTCATCTCTCACAGCTGTGCACTGGTGACAGAATTCCCATAGCCTAATATACAGCAAAACCCATGTATCAGCCTTAAAACTGCACATGAAACCAAACCCACATAAATAAGAAAAACTTTTGGAGGAATATGTGTAGCTATAATGTTTTTAAATTGATGTTGTGGCAAGTTGGCTGTGTCAATCTTGGTCTACTGTGCCCACACATTTGTGATACTTATGTCAATAATACAATCAAAACACATGTTCAAATTTGGTGTCAAAGTCAGGGTAACTCCTCTTGGTAGTTTTGCTACTTACTTTGAATTGAGTATTACCATTTACACTTTGTTAACATAATCTATTGCGATGTGTGATCTACTGTGTTCAATAATTTTCCTTATGGATCAATAAAGTCTGAGTCTAGGTCTAACTCATGTCTAAACTGGTAATACATGAATATTTTAATTTATATTGCTATTCCATTACACTTCAGTTATCTACATACAGGTTAATTTTGCAACACACCACAATGTTTTCTTTTGGCAAACTAAAATATCTGAAATAAAGTAGATTATCTGTCATAATTCCAAAACTTCATAATGAGCCTTTTATTTTATCATCAAACGTGCCGATATTGCAAATGAATGTACTTTGGCACCTGTTTAGCATCTTTATAAAAACAATGTACAGATCAAGGAAAGCTCAGCTCTACTACTATTTTACTACGACACACGTGCCTGAAATGTGTTTACACCCAAAAAATAAAAGTAGCACTGCAGACCCACGTGCGAGTATTGCTGTTACGCCCCCTTACAAACCTTATCTCTTCTACTATATCCAATTTAACACTAACTACAAAGCTTCCCCCTCAGTGTCCACTGTGCCCCACAAGCTTCAAACGCACCGCTCAGACTATAGGCAGCAGAGGGGCCAAGTTCAGGGTTATAGTGGACAGCAATGCACACTTTTGTTCCACCGCAGCGTGCACCCAGCTCCGGCAAGAGACCACCAATCTTACCGCGGTGCTCCTCTACCCATCGTCCCACTTTGCACCAAGTTAAACGCACTGTACCACTTACCTATTAAAGCGTTCAGGAGTATTCCCCAAAAGCATAACACAAGGCGGCGGTGCCTTGTGGATGCCATTTAAACAAACACCTCACCACAGAAATATCCAAGCAAAATAACGTGAGGTTAAAAACGTGTAGTAGCGGGACGAGTAAAAATGAAATAAAAGCACGTATCCGGCTTTAGATATCACATTTCCAAGCTAACGCGCTACAGTTTGGAGGTTCACTGGGGTCGAACAAGCTTTCGCCATTTTAGCCATCTATCAGGAATTTGTCAGCATCCCAGCTCTGCCTCGGTCTCTCCTTCTCACTCTGCTGGTTCCCAAAGCCAGCCTCCACATCCGTCCGCGCCTCTCTCTCTCTCTCTCACTCTCTCTCTCTCTCTCTCTCTCTCTTTCTCTCCCTCTCTCACAAACTCAATACGCGCTCGGAACAAAAGAGCCGACTGCTGACTACTTGTACCTTTACGCATGAGAAGCCTGCAAAAACATTTCAGCGTGTCAATAACAAACTAGACTGGACCAGACCAGTGTTTTTAGAGAACATGTGATTATTTTTTTTATGTAAAATAAAATATAATGCTGTTACAATAAAAGGGGAAGCCAGTGCCAGTGTAAACACGCGGCTGTGTTTATGTTTTGGCTATGATATGATGTAATACCCCCAAAAAAACGATGCACAGGCCAGTGCGTAATAGTGTGCCAAATGGCGCATAGTTTGATAAACAGGCCCAATGGAAAAGTATAATGCGGTAATTGTAAACTTGACAGTGCTCTTTTAATGTTATTCAAAGATGTAATGTCATAAAATAAAGGATACAATTTGAAGAATAAATTAAAATACACGGTCGCAAATGTACCGTGAAATGTAAACGACATGTATAAAGTAGCACGCGCATAGAAACACAAACAAGATGTTTATTTAAAGGTAATGGTTCAGAACAAGTGAACCTGGTATGATAAACAAGTCAAACCCCCAACTCTGATTTACAACAAAGCCCCGCTACTTTTGTCTATACCCGAGCGACCCCTAGCGGCCAAAACATCCTGTTTCAATCGTGCTTATTAACTAATCACCAATTAAGATCATAATTGAGGTAATATGCAGTACAAATCCAAGTGTAATTAGCGACGGTTGTTGCCAAGTCTCCAAGTAGACGCCCGCAGCACTGGTTAGCTGATTAATTCAGAGTTACAACAAGAGTCTTGGGATTCTCAGCAGACTTTGACGGAAGCGTACACACTAAACCCAGAGAACGAGAGAGAGAGAGACAGAGAGAGAGAGGGGGAAAGAGAGAGAGGATAATGGGGGTGGGTTTAGTGTTGGATAGAGGATGAGGTATGTCAATGTCACATCAGAGATTAAAAATAATAATTCTTAATATAAAAGAGGCTATATGATGGTATAAAATGGTTAAAATCCCTCCAAAATGAGTGGGTATATTAATTGACCTAGGTTGTAGGTTTAGATTATTCTGGGGTTGATTTAAGATATAATATTGTATCTTAAATCAGAGTATTCATACAACACCAGAATACTACTGGGTATTTTAAGGACACGGGCGTGGGGTAACGAAATGTAAGATCAAAAAAATTGTTTGTCAGCTTGTCCTGAATGTGTGAATGGGATTTCTTTCTCTTCTGTACAAGATCTCCCTCTAGTGGACACAACTGCTAAGCGCACCAAAAATCCCCGGTTACAGCCACAGTTGGGTTGTTTGAATTGCACTGAAAAGCCTGTGTCCTCACTATGAACTGGCCTCCATCTCCATAAACCTGACTCTTATTTGGCCTGGAGTAGGGCCACCTCCTGCTGGTTTCCATAGAAATACTGTTCATTTGGTTACAGTATTTCACCATATGTCATGAGAGGTATATCTATCTCAACAGCTAAAACATGCACTTGAGCCACTAAGCGAAAAGCCCACCAACAGCATCTTAAATCTACAGTATCAGACCACTGCAACAGGGGAAACCATCTCATGGGTTGAGACAATGCTAATGTCACAGGCACAGAAAGCAGCAAGTACCACTGTTGGATCACTACTAAGATCTGAAAATGCGCTCCATCCATCCATTTTCTTCCGCTTATCCGGGGCCGGGTCGCGGGGGCAGCAGTCTAAGCAGGGTTAGACTGCTGGTGTTCCCAGGCCAGCCGAGAGACATAGTGCCTCCAGCGTGTCCTGAGTCTACCCCGGGGCCTCCTCCCGGTGGGACATGCCCGAAACACCTCCCGAGGGAGGCGTCCAGGAGGCATCCGGAACAGATGCCCGAGCCACCTCAACTGGCTCCTCTCGACGTGGAGGAACAGCGGCTCTACTCCGAGCTCCTCCCGTGTGACTGAGCTCCTCACCCTATCTCTAAGGGAGCGCCCAGCCACCCTGTGAAGGAAACTCATTTCGAGCGCTTGTATCCGCGATCTTGTCCTTTCGGTCACTACCCAGAGCTCATGACCATAGGTGAGAGTAGGAACGAAGACTGACCGGTAAATCGAGAGCTTCGCCTTTCGGCTCAGCTCCCTCTTCACCACAACAGTCCGATACAGTGACTGCATCACTGTAGAGGCTGCATCGATCCGCCTGTCAATCTCCCGTTCCGTCCTTCCCTCACTCGTGAAGAAGACCCCGAGATACTTGAACTCCTCCACTTGAGGCAAAGATTCCCCACCCACCCGGAGAGGGCAAGTCACCTTTTTCCGGTCGAGAACCATGGCCTCGGACTTGAAAGAGCTGATCTTCATCCCAGCAGCTTCACACTCGGCTGCAAACCGCCCCAGTACACGTTGCAGGTCCTGGTTCGATGGAGCCAACAAGACAACATCATCTGCGAACAACAGAGATGAGATCCTGTGGTCCCCAAACCGGGCCCCCTCCAGCCCCTGGCTGCGCCTAGAAATTCTGTCCATAAATACAATGAACAGAACCAGTGACAAAGGGCAGCCTTGGCGGAGTCCAACATGCACCGGGAACAGGTCTGACTTACTGCCGGCAATGCGAACACAGCTCCTGCTCCAGTCATACAGGGACCAGACAGCCCTTAGCAAAGGGCCCCAGACCCCATACTCCCAGAGCACCCCCCACAGAACACCACGAGGGACACGGTCGAATGCCTTCTCCAAGTCCACAAAGCACATGTGGACTGGTTGGGCAAACTCCCATGAACCCTCGAGCACCCGATGGAGAGTGTAGAGCTGGTCCAGTGTTCCACGGCCAGGACGAAAACCACACTGCTCCTCCTGAATCCGAGGTTCGACTATCGGCCGAATTCTCCTCTCCAGTACCCTGGCATAGACCTTACCGGGAAGGCTGAGGAGTGTGATTCCCCTGTAGTTGGAACACACCCTCCGGTCCCCCTTCTTATACAGAGGGACCACCACCCCGGTTTGCCAGTCCAGAGGTACAGTCCCCAACTGCCACGCGATGTTGCAGAGGCGTGTCAACCAAGACAGCCCCACAACATCCAGAGACTTAAGGTACTCAGGACGGATCTCGTCCACTCCCGGAGCCTTGCCACCAAGGAGCTTGCCAACCACCTCAGTGACTTCAGCCAGGGTGATGGATGAGTCCACCTCCGAGTCCCCAGCCTCGGCTTTCTCCTCGGAAGACGTGACAGTGGGATTGAGGAGATCCTCAAAGTATTCCTTCCACCGCCGGACAACGTCCCCAGTCGAGGTCAGCAGCTCTCCCCCCGCACTGTAAATAGTGTTAGTGAAGAACTGCTTCCCCCTCCTGAGGCTCCGGACAGTTTGCCAGAATCTCTTTGAGATTCTGATAGTCCTCCTCCATGGCCTCCCCGAACTCCTCCCAGCTCTGAGTTTTTGCCTCCGCAACCGCACGAGCTGCAGCACGCTTGGCCCGCCGGTACCCGTCAGCTGCCTCAGGAGTCCCACGTGCCAACAAGACCCGATAGGACTCCTTCTTCAGCTTGACAGCATCCCTTACTTCCGGTGTCAACCACCGGGTTCGGGGATTGCCGCCGCGACAGGCACCACAGATCTTACGGCCACAGCTACGAGCGGCCGCATCGACAATAGAGGCCGAGAATGAAGCCCACTCGGACTCCATATCTCCAGCCTCCCCCGGAATCCGGGAGAAGTCCTGAAAGTCCCTCTGACAGAGGGCTCTGCCAGACGTTCCCAACAGACCCTCACTACATGCTTGGGCCTACCAGGTCTTTCTGGCTTCCTCCTCCGCCAGCGAAACCAACTCACAACCAGGTGGGGATCAGTTGACAGCTCAGCCCCTCTCTTCACCCGAGTGTCCAAGACATGCGGCCGGAGGTCAGATGACATGACTACAAAGTCGATCATCGACCTCCGGTCTAGGGCGTCCTGGTGCCACGTGCACTTATGGACACCCTTGTGCTCGAACATGGTGTTCGTTATGGACAAACTGTGTTGAGCACAGAAGTCCAATAACAAAACACCACTCGGGTTCAGATCGGGGAGGCCGTTCCTCCCAATAATCCCTCTCCAAGTGTCACTGTCGCTGCCCACATGGGCGTTGAAGTCCTCCAGTAGAACAACGGAGTCCCCGGTTGGTGCACTGTCTAGTACCCCTCCCAGGGACTCCAAGAAGGCCGGGTACTCTGCACTGCTGTTCGGCCCGTAGGCCGACACTACAGTGAGAGACCTGTCCCCGACCCGAAGGCGCAGGGAAGCAACCCTCTCGTTCACCGGGGTGAAATCCAGCACACAGCGGCTGAGCTGTGGGGCAATGAGCAGGCCCACACCAGCCCGCCGCCGCTCCCCGCGGCCAACGCCAGAGAAATGGAGAGTCCAGCCCCTCTCAAGGAGTTGGGTTCCAGAGCCCAAACTGCGCGTGGAGGTGAGGCCGACTATATCTAGTCGGTAACGCTCAACCTCCCGCACAAGCTCAGGCTCCTTCCCCCCCCAGCGAGGTGACATTCCATGTCCCCAGAGCTAGTCTCCATGTCCGGAGATCTGGTCGTCGAGGCCCCCGCCTTCGACTGCCGCCCAGATCTCTCTGCACCGGCCCCATATGGCTCCTCCCGCAGGTGGTGGGCCCACGGAAGGGCAGCCCCATGTCGCTCGTTCGGGCTGTGCCCGTCCGGGCCCCGTGGGGGAAGGCACCCACCCCAGGCCTGGCTCCAGGGTGGGGCCCCGGTAACGCCATTCCGGGCGACGTAACTGGCCTCTGATTGGAACTCATCATGTGGGGCTTCTGAACCGTTCTTCGTCTGACCCGTCCGCCAAATGCGCTCACCAGACTATAAATGGGGATGTGGGGATGTACCAACTCTCTCACTCCTGGAATACAGTTGCAGACTGCAGATGGCGCTGTAATCCTACTGCTCCAAGTAGCAAAACAGTGCCAAAATCTGTTTAAATCAGATGACCAGGCACATTACAGCAACATCACATGACACTTTTGAGGAAGCTGGCAGAGTGCAGCTGAAACTGTCATGGAATGTAAATAGAGTACTGTACATAATAATCTAAAGTATTATTTCTCCATGGAGAATGCTCCAAAGAATGGTTTTAACTTACTATTTGCATGGAAACATGCAGGTGATGCGCCACATCCAGAAAGTTATAGTGAAATGTGATATGGATCATAATGTGATTTCAGTGGGGGACAGGGATTAACTTCACAATATCACAAATGATCAAAAATCAAGGGAAACTTGGCAAATGAAAATTCAGTTTAAAAATATTTACAACTGCGTTTCATTTTATGTGTTCAGGAAAAAGTAAAAATCCAAATTTTTAGTTGCAGTCGATCCTTCTTAACTAATACTTGTACTTTGGAAATTCAGAATTATTGTTTATTTTTTGTTAGAATATCGTGAAATGATTCACATTTAGACGTTAATCAGATAAATCATAATGTATTACTTAAGTTAATCTACCATTAACTTACTGAGAAATGAACATACTGAGTGCTTCACCTCTTCTGAGTTTGACATGAAAGGCCCACAACAGTGGCTGTTGTTAAGTAAGCACTCAAAATGTGATTATATTATTACATTGTTGGGAGTCAGGAAAATCGACAGGGGGGACAAAGGGAGCTATTGTCCAGGGCCCCAGGGTCTTAGGGGCCTAGAATTGGACCTTCTTCCTTTTAATTTATATAAGAGGCTGGTCCAAGTGAGGTTTCTTGCCCCAGGGCCCCATATTTCTGTCAGTGGTTGAAGTTATAAGAGCTCCTTCAGCAGAAGAGAGTTTGTTGAAGGTGGAAGAGCACTATATAAAAATGTGAGTATTTACCATAGGACTATTAATATGACATGTAAATGTCTGGGTTTTTTTCTGATCCTGATCCAACTGGATAGTTACATCGGTTTGTGCGGTTTGCATGTCATTTACATAATCTTAAAGGTTCAGAGGTCATTTTATAATCAGATTGTGGATTTTTTTAATTTAAAAAAAAATTTTTTTTTAAGGGTGTCGTAGCGCAAAATGGCCACAAGATGTCATCATCCAAACAGTGTCTCCTCCAGGATAAATACAAGAATTTGTCTACCGTGCTTGCTTGTGACAACTACACAGACCACAGCACAAAATATTAGGCAACCATTTATTTAATCTGCCAAAGTAAGCATCTGCTCCACTTATTTTCATTACTTTCCGTCATTTATTTGGCCAACATTCAACAATTTGTATAGTGGAAAACGTTCTGTGCATTACATTTAGCCGACACAAAAAGCTCCAGAGCGCCCCTCCCCTTTACGTGTGGTCTAGAGTGGCAGCAGCACTGGGGCACTGGGGCTCCTGTGTGGATCGTTGCTAATGTAAATATATCATATCCCATTATGAATACCACATATCTGGACCCATGAACCAACAGCCGGAACCACATCCTGGACTGGCCTGTACTCCGAGCGCGAGCCACATCCGCACTGCCATCCGCGCGCTGTTTTCCAAGCAGTAAAGGTAGAAGAAAAGAGGCGTGCTCGGGCTGCTCACCGCTATGAGGCGAATAACGGGAAAGACCAAGGATGAAACTTTGATCGAGCTACAAGGAACCACAGATTCACAGGCGACAGGTATGACAACCAATAGATATGTATTGACGTTTGGCATTTAGGCGAGAATCATACCCCAGTGGGCACATTTTCATTGATTTGTCTCACCATCTCGTCTCGTTGTAACAAAGCTGACTCTGTTATGTTATGTCTACTGTATCTTATCTGAGGACTGTCCTGAATTCACGTCTTTTATAATAAATAAGACTTCACCATTTGAACTAACACACCAATCCAGTACAAATCTTATGTGGCTAATTAATTGCCATTTTTATAAGTCCATGTGTCTATGGCTCTGAGGCTGCGTGGTGACGTAATGGAGGGAGGATTACAGTTTGGGACGGTCCTAACCTGATATTTAGGTTAATTGGTCAGATTTAAATAAAGAACTCTGGTGAACAGTATTTCTTTTCATATTTTTGTGTACATACTAAACCAAAGCCATATTTAGTTATACTTTAGTTAACTGAATTTATTTTCAAGATAATGCTATGGAGGAAGTCACAGAGGTCACACAGAGGATTGAATATATCCACATCCAAAGCAAAACTGAAAACACATTTAGAAACATTATACGTAGCCTATCATATAACTGCAGTGAATAAATTGTCTTTTGTATTTAACTGTTTGTATGGGTAGTCTATAGAAACTTGTTTTACATACTTTACATAGATTTACTGAAGGATTTCCTGAAGATAAACAGGACTGAAGCAGGGCTAAACCAGGACTGAACCAGGATTAGATCAGGACTATACCAGGACTGAGCCAAACATGATTGACTCTATAGAAGTAGTAACATTATATAGAACTATTAGTAGTGGTGATAATAATAGAACTGGGAAACTACAACTGAAATATTTAGTATACGTCTTTCATCTCTACAGTAAATAGCCATTCTTGAGGACATTCCATACTGCCAGGCTTTATTAATGTCATCTGGACTATCATCTGTCTAATTTCATTTAAGTCCATAACCTTTGGAGGAGCCCACTACAACCTCGGCCTTGTCCCGCAGTTATTGTTTGTTTTTATAGATTCTCTGGAGGGACCTCAGTCTGAATGAAGACAAATAGACATCACATTTTCCTCCTCCATTTGTTGTGATGGTGCATTAAGCCTCCCACAGGTCTGCTAACACAGTGGATTGTGCTAATGTTGTTGAAGTGAAGCTTGGTGATCTGTACCTGTGCCCGAGTGGGAGAGTGGATTCATTAGGGACAGTTTCACAGACTTGTATTATGTAATTGAACCAGGCACTTGTTTTGTTGTCATAGATGTCCTCTTTTTTTGTTAGATCACTTGAAATGGGACTCTGTCTTTATAAATGCCTATTTGTTATTATGAAAAACATTTAAGTTTATTGTATTTTTGGATTTAAATGAAACATTAGTTATTGTAGGCCTATGTAAACATAATAATCATGATCATAAGACTGCTATTTGTCACTTATTTATCTCAGACATTGCATAAAAATACAGTTTAATTCAGCACATGGCCACATGCCCTGTTAATAGTCATTTGTTGCTAGGCTAACAGACTGTGCAGTGTGCCTACGGCTTCATCAGGCTCTTATCTGCTCTGCCCTGTGGCTTCAGTACAAAGAGGAGGAAGCATTGACACTTGAGGAAAAGGTCTTTCCTCACCTCATTATATTAGGGCCAAGTATTGTTCCCAGCTGCTCAAACACTGATTTATGGACAGCCTGCGCTGTCCATATGCAGATGTAACTCCATAGATGGACTGCAATAGTGTGTAGTAGTGCCTTGTGTTGATAGACAGCTCTTGGTACTGTGGCTTGATATCGTCAGAGGTAATTTAATAAGGCTCTATCCATTTAAGGCAATATCTCTTCAGTTTCCGCAGACTGTGAAGTCATCTCTCACTGGCTTGACCCTGGGCCAATGGGTTTCTATGGAGACACATCATCACATGACGCCATTAGTGCTTTGATAGAGGCGTGATACTAGGATCCACAGGCTAGAGAGATTTTCCCTCAGCATGTACTAAAATAAATGTTTAAATAAATATTTAAATCAATTGTACAATCAGTTTCAAAACAGGGCCCAGGGTTAGAAAAGAAGAGAAACACTCTCACATTGCAAGCTATTAAATGTTTTATTGATGTGTTACTTGACCACTGGTCATACAGCCTCACCCAGCAGACTGCAGCACTACATGTCCTGAAGAAAGCTAAACAGATTACAGTCATAGGTCTCCATAATAAAAACATCACCCCTATTGCTTTCACATGCTAATTTGTAAACCAGAGTAAATTCTGAAGTCAGATTTGTTTGTAGATCATTCGGATACTGTCTACAGCAAAGCAACGCTTCTATAAAGGAACTTATATTTGTTTACATTTTTAGAATGGACAAACGATGCATGCATATGTTTTGTGATTAGATGGGAAAAGCATTTACCCTTGAAAGAGCCCGAGACTCATCTGGGCTCTTTATCTGCACCACTGGCAGTTAAGACCAGTGCCTTGGCAGAGGTTTACATTCTCAAAGATTTTATTCTTAGTTCTAAGTTCTGCCAGTGTTTGTACATACACATTTCATAATTTCCTTTTTTCAGTATATCATGTTAGGGTGTCAAAAGTGTAAGTATTTTTTTTTTTTTTTCCTTGAATTATCACAACTGTTTCCTCTTTAGCAGCGCATGTCCAGATGACAGGGAAGGAAACTGTCACATTGTCCCATTATAAACACTGTATGTTTGAGATTAAATATCTGTATTCGAGGTCACTGCAAACTGTACATTTGTTGTACAGGAAGCCAGATAGAAGCAACAGCAGAGGATTGGCAACAAACATGTTCAGGATGTTGTGGTTGCACTGTTATGATGCAGAAAAACTCTCATGGAACACATGAATAACTTTGCATAATGTTTTTTCATTCTAGGAAGTATTTACATGCTGATTCAATATGGTATTTACAGAGATGTTTTAAGTGAAACAAAGAAGCAGTCATGAGATGCTTGTCTGTAGTTAGCTCTATGTTAGGGAGGGAAAAGCTGAAGGAGACACTCATAAACTCTCTAAAGCCAGTTTGTTTTGTCTCACATTGACGCAGCTCAAAGCAACTGCTCTGCTGCAAATGAACAGGAGAAACACACCCTACTGCGCACTTCAAGTTCAACTCAAAAACAACTTTTCATGAAAACATTATCCTTGATAAGATAGAGATGGGAAATACATGTGAAAAATGTGCAGACAGTCGCACTACATGTGCTGAAGAAGGCTAAGCAGATTACAGCGATAGGTCTCCATAACACTGCTACGTTAGCCCTAGTGCTTACTCATTCTAATCAGAAACCATCGATCATTCTAGTACTGACTAGTGCAGAGCAAAGCTTTAGTGAAGGAAATTTAGTTTGTTTACATTTTTAGCATATTTTTAGAGATAGCTAAAAGATCAGGATAATCTAAAAAGATGAGATATACATTTTTGTCAATACGTCCTAGCCTTTTCCTTGATTCTCACTAGCCTCCATTCTATCTGTCTTTTCTTAAATTGATCTTTAATTTGTTGACTTTACACTAATTTAATCTGACCTAACATTCTACTGACCCTGTACAAATTTCTGTGCTCTATATTTGTGCTTTCCGGTTGATCTAATGACACTCAGATGTGTGTCCCAGTCTGCCTCCTGCACCTCCTGTGACTGTATCTCTGGAGTCTGGCTTTTACCAAATGAAGCTCTGATCTATATTTATGTTGGAGGTGTGATCTGTGTGGCTCTTACGCATGAGCCATGTTACACGTGTTTCACCATAATATGTGAGCCATGTGTGCTGCTGTTCAATTATACATGTATCACAGAGTTAACCACATCGCTGCGGCTTATTACTGTATAAAAACATGTGGCTGTGAGATATTTATGTGAAAGTAAACTAATTGAAAATAGGGCTGAACGATTTTGGCAAAACATCTGATTGTGACTTTTTTGAAAAACATTACAAATATGATTAGATTTGCAATATATGTTTTAAAATAGTTGTATTAAACTAATCTAGTGGCATTAACTTCTAATGGGCCCGAATTACACTATTTTCTCATTATATCTGTTATGATGTTGTTACCTCATCAAAAACATACCTGGAGTTGTGTTTCGTTTCATTCACACATGTTTAGCACAATACATATTTAGAATGAGTTCTTCTCTCAAATGGAAAACACCCTGTTCCACCTTGTGATGTCATTTGGTAATACAGGAAGTGCTCCACTGTGTTTTTAAACTCCACACACCTTCACTAGAATAATTTGGATTATTTCAGATGTGTTATAGTCAATCTCTACTGAACAAAAGGTATCTGATAACTTGAAAACTACCGCCTCTTGACTTCACAGAGAATTTTGAGATTTGTACAGGTAGACTAATAATAATAAAGGCTCACAATAAACGTTAACTCAAACATGTGAATTAAACAAAACACAACTTTATGTTTTGGATTAGAAAACAACATTTTAGAATGGCATAAGCTCACAAGAGTAATATAGGACCTTTTAACTTTTAAAAACTGCATAACAAATACAATTTCAGAACATATTTGTAGAGGTCTAAAGTACAGAGGGAGCAATTTTTTAGATAATAAGACAAGATATTTGTTGTTTGCCACAGACTAAACGATGATTGCAACTATTCAAACAGTGAGTTCGATTCAGTTGCAATTCATCTTGCAGCCGTAATTGGAAACAAAGTTATACAACTATTTGACACAAAACAAACACAAGTTTTTTGTGGTTTCATCATACAGTTGGACTATTGAGCTAAGCAGTTAGCTGTAATGTTTGGTCACCATGGGCAGCAGCTGAGCAGGTAGCTATTAGTAATGGAAATCTCTCACACTGTTGCCTTAGAATAGGGACAGCTCTCCCAGTTGTCTTTATATTTTGTAGTTTCTAAATTAAGTTATTATCAGTGCACATTGGCAGCACATGTTTAGCTGGAGAACATGATGCATAAAAGAACTGAGAAGCTTTTCTACTGTGAAGGGCTGACACTGTAGCAGCTTAAAA